GGTTTAATAAATGTATTATGCGTCATTCGCACAAATTTGTACAAAGTTAGGCTCATATTAAACAAAAGCTTTGATATGAATGACCGTTCTCGGTTAACTATAGAAAATCACAAATATCGACTGACCCCTGACACATTCTATGGTTTTGTTCTTTGCATATTCGTGAATTTCAGCGGTAAAAATTGTTGAATTGTACGGTTTATAGATATTAATTAATGATTTGGGATGAAAAATTTTGCTTAATTTGATTGTTTATTTTTTCACATTTTATCGGGACAAATAAGTGCACTCGTTCTTTGTTTAATTTGATGGACTTTTAAGCTTGAATACTTTTCGCTGCATCTCCATATATTTCACGAATGCTTCGTTTTACCATTATCAGGATCCTTTCATTACTTCAAGCTGAATATATATTTCTTTTCTTCATAAAGTAATGAACATTTTTTGAACAGTATATTCATCTCTTATTACATGTAAATTATATCAATGATTCTTGTATGCTAACCATTGTGATTAATACAAGTTACTAGCTAAACATCTTTCTTGCAATCCATTTAAAAAAAAAACAAAAATGTGAAAGAGAGCACACGAATAAATATCGTAAGTCTGGAAATTTTTACGTCGATTTTATTTTGCTAATTCGGGTCAAAATGCTGTTGATTAATTTTTACGTTTCAAAATTTTGAGAATGACCACTGCTTTGTTTACATTTTCTTATTGGTGATTTATTTTTAAGAAAAATATTTTTTCGAATTCAATGCACTCGTAAATTTGGTAAATATTTATCTACAGCAAAAATTTCCAGATTTACGGTAGTAAGCACTGCAGTAATTTAAGGGTACTGGAAACAAAATTTTATACACACATGTTTTGTTTAAATTTGCAATGATGGATGGCTGAAATGGATTAATTAATGAATCTGGGTTTGCATATCTTGTTATATACAATCACAAGTACAATTTAAATCAGAAAATGTAATTAAAAGATATATGAAAATAACAAACATCATTCAAGCTCAAAAGTCAAATTTTGAAGCAGATCAAACACGGAGTTCTTAAACATCAAGAGTGGGATCAGGTTTCATGGAGGAGTAAACATCTCCTGCCGACCAGTCACACCCCCAAATGCTCCTCGTCATGATCAAGAAATAACCGAAAATTTCATCTACAATTCAGTGTGTAAATAATGACCAATTGCAAATAATTAATCTAATTAGGTTTTAAAAAATTACGAGATTGATCACTATACCATATTTACAGCTTTTCAGTATGAAAAAAATCCGTACCTTCTCTTCATTTTGCTTCCATAACACCTGTCTTTTCCTAGTGTCAACATCAGTTTATTCCTTGGTCTTATCCCGATAACCTCCTAGCTACACATTAAAAGAAGCTCTATAACATGACTCAAGCTACAATACTTTATTCTATTACGGGTATTTCAAAAACATTGACAGTTAATTAAAACCTTTGAAATGAAATGGAAACCCGAAACCCGTAATTGTCACGTTTGTTCTCTTTTTTCATTGATTTTGGAATTCAAGACAGCTGAAACAAGTAGATGTGTGAGAGCTATTGAAAGAACTTTAATTTTCTCCGTACATAATAAAGGTAATTATAAAATGATCCAAATCGAACAAATCATTTTAAGTGAAACTCTATATAATTTGAAACAATAGTGTCTTAAGCAAAAAAGTACATATAATAGCTCGGAGAGAAGCGGATAGAACAAAAGAGATTTTGAGGTTTGAAGATTGAGACCTAGCCCCTTATTCTGAGTAAAAATGTTGAAGAACCTCACATGTTTCATCTTCAGTATAGTATTTCCTTTTATTCAGTCTAGCGATCCTTGTATCAGTTTCAATGTAGACAGAGTTGTAGGAAAGAAACTTCCTGTGAATCCTATCAAAATCGTTAAAGATGTAGGCTTACGACTCTGTTTGAAACAATGCGAAAGACACCCGTCGTGCTTGTCTATCAATTTCAATCGGAAAACGTTTGAATGTGAATTGCTGAATGTTTTGGGAAACTCATCAACACGGTTTGTCGATGAGAGCAACTACATTTTTGAAGAACTAACAAAAGACGTAAGTACATAATTTTATTTGTTACAAATATGATGTAGGATTTTAAATATTTATTATACAGCTGTAGTCTTTGATTTGTAAACACTTTTCTTAAATACAAAAATAACACAGTCAAAACATTAAGTTATGAAAAAAATTCGAACGTCCAGATCAGATCAATGTATGTTATAATTGTAGGATGACAACAGAACACTTTGTGGAGAATCATTATGTAATAATTATTCCACCTGTATTTCTACGTCATCAACCAAGAAAATCTGCATTGCTACAGGTAGGTCATTTTTCTGTTCAAGTACATTCAAGGACATCTATTGTCATATGTCTTAAGTTAGCTAAATTTTCTTTTAAAGAATGTTCAGAACCTGTCCCTTTCCTGGAAAATGGAACCATTCTAAGTCAGAGTTACTCTCCTCCTTCTGTAACATTTGGCTGTCAACAGAACTACATTGCCGTAGGTCAAGGGAACACAACAAAATGTACACCCGGAGGAAAATGGTCACCTCTTTCTTTGATCTGCGAATTCCTGGGTATTACAGATTTTATTTACAAATTTGCCGTAATTTGTTCATCAAACCTTTATTATACCAGCCAATTGGAAATCTTAATATTTTTAATATGCGAGGGGTGATCAAAAAGTTCGCAAACTAATTGAATAACTTCCATACAAGAAACAATATTTGGTTTTAATGTTGTTTATATTTTAAATTAATCCTCCCCGATTTTAATACACATCAACCACCGTTCTGCACATGCGCGAATCACGTGATATTGGCGGTCACGTGACCCCCTCCGTAGCGTTCTGTAACAAAAGTTAAAATATTTTTCCGAGTTTTATATTTCTTTCCATGTGAGTTAATTTTTATGACAAGAACAGTTAATTTGTCAGAAATGGTCATATCTCGGCAACAGAATGGGTGGATAATAACATCCTTTCCAAAAATAAGCATGGCGACCATTAAAACACAAATCTTCTGTCTCAGGAGAGACCTTTATTCAAGATGGATAGAGAATGGGTGGATCCTTTTTATCATATCTAATATGTTTGAAATCTAAAGTAAACGATATTTTAGGTATTTAATACTTATATCATTGTTCAAATATTCAACTATTTTTCAAAGTGCTATTTGGAGGTCTTTGATAGCAAATTGCTTAATTAAAAATACATATCTTTTCAAACTTGCTTTCACTGGGCAAGATGACAAATATCATTTTTAACCACCAGCCTTCCTTCACTAAAACGATTAATCCAATCATTAATTGAATTTATAGGAACTCATTTATCTCAATAAACTGTGTACAAATTATTATACGATACTGTAGAGGGATTTCTAAGATATTACAATAAATCGTACAGTCGTTTGTTGAACGAGTTCGACTGAGACAACCATTTTTCGTCACAAGTGACCTAAATAGTGACGTCATTTTCACATTGTGACGTCACAAACAAGGAGAGAAACTTTATTCAGCATATGCTATTTATAGACCTTGTGTATGGCTATGTGTGTACCGAATTTCAGTCTAATCTGAATTTTGGTTTTCTAGATATAGAGATAGTTTGCGAACTTTTTGATCACCTCTCGTATTTATAATTCAACTACTCTTTTATGCATATAATATGTAATTATGTAAATAAGATTATTTTGTTTAACGATCATTTTAAAGGTTCAGTAAGGTTACAAAGCGGAAGTTCGCCAAACGAAGGCAGGGTTGAAATTTCCATCAACAACACATGGGGAACCATTTGTGATGATTCTTGGACAGAAACAGAAGCTCGGGTTGTTTGCCAAATGATGGGGTATACCGGGTAAGTGTTTTATGGTAAGCCACAGGGGACCTATGTTATCAGTCATGATTTGGCCATGTTATTAATCTTGACTTGGTAAAATTCATGGGGTGGTCATGTTTGAAATCCTGACTTGGCAAGAATTGTAATGAATTATATACAATATGACGAGATGGTTCCAAGTGGCTTCACGTACCCTTTAAATGAATTGTTTGTTTCATAGCTGTAACGTACTTTCAATGGTAATTAACTGATCATTTATTTACTTTCAGTATTGCAACTCCAAGAACAGCTGCCTATTTTGGGGAAGGTGAGGGTCCTATATGGTTAGACGGTGTAAAGTGCTCTGGGTCGGAGTCTCATCTTCTGTTGTGTGAACATTCAACAATAGGAAGCCATAATTGTTATCATTTTGAGGATGCCGGTGTTACATGCGAGTAAAAATTCTACCTGCTTGGTGGTAATGGTGATGGTAAAACTGAAGCTAAGAATAATGAGAACTTTTGAATTACGAAATAATAAATAAGCACAATTTGAAGCCAGTTTTTGGAGGAAAAATTGTCTTACTGTATGCACTGAAATTATATGAAAAGAAGCTTATTTCAATCTATGGCTATGTTACACGCATTACTTTCGACAGCTTATGTTTTTTTATGAACCGCATTGCGGTTTATAAAGCATAAACTACCCTAAGTTATGTTATATCATATAACATAGCTAGGTTAAAATAAGCTTCATTCCTTAAATATATTTTTATTAATACTGCAAAGTAATCAAATTAGTTTGAATAGCAATTTTTGATATAATATGAACTGCACCTATTTACATGTCCTAACATATTATTAACATGAAGGATTCAAACTTTTTGGTAACCCCTTTTTGAAGCTTTGGATATTTTCGTAAAACAACAAGGTGTATGTTATACTTATATTAATATAACAGAAGTTACAAAGCTGCTTCAAAATTAAAACAAATTGACTATTGCTTTAAAAATATGCGCAAATAATAATGGTAATATCAAATTTTAAAGGAAAAAATTATTAAACACAAGGGAAATACTAATAAACCACTAACATCCCTTTTTCTCATTGTTATATATATACAGTGTATACAAAGAAAGGAAGTTAAATTCCGTTGTGATCTTGTTCAAGCAATTCAATATGTTAACATGTAACTCTAATGGAACAAAACTGAAATGATAACGTTTAGGTTGCTTATTGGAACCCTTTTCTATTCCGTTACAGGTAATTTAACTTGTCAGAAATTACTTTATAATCCTGTCGATTGTGAAACTTTTTCTTCTTCTTAATTTTTTTTTAAAATTTACAACATTAGTATATAGAAAAAGAAATATCTTATATATGGAATGAAAGACATCAATTTACAATAATCAATATGAAATAGTTTTGTATACTACATTAATATTTAAAGTCTTGTTGGTTTTTTTTAATTTAAAAGTAGATTATGAAAAAAATGATGATGATGGTGATAAATGGTATTATTATTGCGTGTTTTATCATCATATGTATTACAATCACTTATTCGTGTTTTTTTTTTTTTTTTTTTTTTTTTTTTGTCTTTTTAAAAAAAATTTTCTTGCATGGTCAATATAAAAACTAATTCGCATTGAATTTCAAAAAGCAAGCGTCTGTTTTACTTTTGAATATAATCAACCTAGATCTCTTTGAAATATCTATAAGTTTTCTTATTAACTAAAACGACATAACTGATAGTTAGAGTACAATATTTCATTGGTGGCGGAAGTAAAATGAAAAAGGGGGAGGCTATAGTCTAAATGAAAGAGGAAAAAAATGAACCTGAAAAAAAATAAAATATAAAAAATCGAATAAAAACCTTGGCACTATTTTTCAGTTTATGCTAGTTTTTACATACTTCTCTTTAATTTTGTATTTATTGTGAAAAGACTTTTCCATGTGCACAAATATTTTTTGACCTTTTCACATTCATATGCTTTGGCCTTGACTTCGGAGTTTGACCCATCAACAAAAGTAACATTGTCCATAGATTTAGAAATTTGAATTTCCCACTTAGATTTTTTGAGATAAGTTCTTTCGTTGGATAACAACATTTTTTTTACCATTACCTGACCGGTTTTTCTTGCATTGGAGAAACTTAAACTTTTGCCATAAACTGCCATACAGTGGCATCGGTGTTTCAAAAAATATATCTTGTTTACATATATAATAAATCACATATAAAAGTACGTGATTTTTTTATTATCATATTGCACCCGTTTAAGAAATATCAGCATACATTTTTTATTTATAGAGAAAAGGTTTAAAATACATGTTAAATCATGAATAAATGGAAGTCCTGTGAATTACATACTTACATGTATAACTAGCTTAAATAAATTCTTATCATAATAACCGCACTGCTGAAACAGTGGGTTAAAGAACAAGTGACAGAGTGCATCGGAAATACAGTACATCATACTTGCGCCAGGAGTCTTCGTCATACACGCTTGATCTGTGTCAATTTCCTAAATGTACATGCGACACTTTAAACCAAAACTGCATCCAAAAAAAAAAAAAAAAAAAAAAAAAAAAAAATTAAAACAAGTGTAATTTTTAGGATATTGGAAGATTACTTGTTAATGTTGAGGAAAAATATTAACATCTATGTATTATTCTTTCATGATATATTTTTAAATAAGGGATATTTAAAACTTAATAATATACACAAAAAAACCTATTTTCGCTAAAACGTTTTGTTATTAAAGATGTTAATGCAGAATCTATCTCAGACGACTGTCGATTACCAGGAGTTTTATATCAAGGAACCAAAAACGTAACAGAAACTGGTAGAGCATGTCAAAGATGGGATACGCAGACCCCACATGAACACGGTTATGATGTGTTTAGCTTTGCAAAAGAGAACTACTGTCGGAACTTCGATAGAGAGGAGCCATGGTGCTTTACCAACGACACGGATGTCCGCTGGGAACTCTGTGGCGTGGAAGTGTGTGGTCAGTTTATTACTATTAGGATGAAAAACTCTTTTAATGTTACGTGAGTTTGATAACATAAGAATATTTGTCTTTTTGATATTTTTTTCAGCAACACCTTGTCTCAATCAGTCTTTTTATACAAAAGAAATAAAGAGTCAGTGTGTTCCTGATATCCCAAGTGATGGTGAATACTGTAGGTCAGCGCTTTATATGTAAATTATTTAATTTAAGCTGTAGCACGCCATTTGATTGGAAAACAGATTAAGAGCAAAAGTCAAAAAGTTCAATAATTGGCTTGATTTCAAATTAGGACAATTTTGCCTCTGGGTATATCTACTAACTATATATTTTTTTAAATGAACTTTCTTTTTTCAATATCTCTTACGTATGTTCTGTAAGAGGTCTTTAAAATATCATATGTATATGGAGAATTCCGTACGTTTTACGGAACGTCATAATGACGTTGTGAATTTTTAAAACATCTGAGTTCTCATAAATAAAGTGGTAAATATTTATTAATTGATGAATATTTCACAAAAAGGTATAATATTACAGATAGTGCTTCGATATTTTATTAATGAAAGATAACTTTCAAATGATAAAATCAGGTATTTATAAACAAGCTTAGGTACAAGTGAAAATGAAAGCTTGTTCAATCAGCGTGTGCTTATCGCGGTACACGTAAATAATTACATACATCGTAACGTTTCATTATTGACATTGATAATGTTTTATAATAATACTTTTATCAATAATTTACACAAACTTTATGTATTTGATATTTCGACTTTTCAACTTTATATACAACCACTCCCCACGATAAAATAAAGTCTAGGCTTTTTGATATCATTAACAGCTGTTTTTTTTAATAAAAATGGAACTCGTAAATTTATTTACCTTGTCATTGGTCATTTGCAAAATTATTTGTTAAAACAGATCTGATTGCACACACAAGTACTCTGAAGTTGACATCAAAGAAATGCTTGAGGTTCTGATTGACAATATCTATGTGGTTTATGGAAACCAAATCTTCCAACAATATATTGGAATTCCCATGGGTACCAATTGCGCTCCATTATTAGCAGCCCTATTTTTATATTCATAGAAAGCAGAATTTGTGCAAAATGTTATGCGTGAAAAGAAGAAAACACTTGCCGTGGCCTTCAACTCGACATTTAGATATATCGACGACGTATTGTCAATTAACCATGGCGATTTCCGTTCCTACGTCGATACGATATATCCTGTTGAGCTTGAGATAAAAGATACTACAGAGTTTGACACATCTGTTTCATACTTGGATATTTTACTCGAAAAAGACATTAATGGTAATCTAACAACCAAGCTATATGATAAACGTGATGACTTTAACTTTTCTATCGTCAACTTCTCTTACTAATGCAGCAATATACCTTCGTCACCTGCATACGGAGTGTATATATCTCAGTTGATTCGATACCAAGAGCTTTCTCTACGTATGAACAATTTCTAAAACGACGTAAATTATTGACAACCCAGTTGATAAAACAAGAACATCAGCCGTCTCGTTTAAAGTCATCCTTTCGTAAGTTCTATGGTCGATACAATGACCTTGTCAGCAAATACAATTTATCATTGAGTCAAATGCTGACTGACGTTTTTAATGCTAATTGTTAGTACATTATTTATACACTGAATTGACGACAGATTTCCCCGTTATTTCCTGATCATGACAAGGAGCACACCGCGGGTGTGACCGGTCAGCAGGGGATGCTTACTCCTCCATGGCACCTGATCCCACCTCTGATGTTTGCTCTGCTCCTATTTTGTATTGTTTTATGGACTTTGAGGTTGAATACTGTTCGTTATCTCCATATCCTTCTTCAATCAACCTGTATAAAGCCAAGTCTTTAAATGAATAAAACATTATTTCATTGTTTCAGTTACGGTTAACATATGTAAAAGCATCTACATTTACTTTCGCTTTGCCAGTTTCGAGAAAGCGAACTCAAACGGCAGTTTGCATTAACTCGTATATAAGCTGCATGCCGATTAAATAATAATTTTTTATAATAAATAATTAAAAACACAAGCAGTTTAGTATGATTTTGATCACATTCTCCAATAAAGATTTTGTCCATACATGTTAACCAGTTGTGACGAAAAGTGGGGATTTAGACCTCTAAAGAGGTATCGCGTGATATTTTACGCATGGACTTGTGAAGATATTCTTTTTCTCAAAGTAATTATCCTCATGTTTTAGCAAAATGTCTTCACGATCATCAAAGTTTTTGAAAGAAATAATAAATCGATTTATTTGAAATAATCTATACAGTGCGTCTATCGACAATTACTAGACAAGGGTTATGAAATTTCATTTTTCCTGCCATCTTTTCAAAATTTTCAACCATTTTTAACACTTGTGTATGTCCGAGCTATACCTATACTTCGTTGAACGAATACTTCCGAGAGCAGCATTAGCAAACTGCTCATGCAAGAACGCCGCTTAATCAAAGGCAGATCCATGGCTTGCGCCTCGGCTGTGCGCACCCCCCCCCCCCCTTCCCCTCTTTTGATTTTTTTTTCTTTATCCTAAAATCAAGGGAAAATGCCTCATTAATATCATCAAGCCTTGCAATGTAACGCTTTGCAATACAGCGATGTAATATTAAAATTATTGCATTAAAGTAGTTGAAATTATTTTAGGGTGAATTAATAGCCACATAAACTAATAAAAATAACTCATATAATTTCCAATCAAGATGCAAATTCAGTTTCATGTTCAATTTTATTGGAACTAATAAAACAAAATAGATACAAGTAATTGTTATAGAGACATAGGCGTCGGAAGCAGAATTTTTTGACACAAAAGGGGGATATGTAGCTAGACCCCTTCTTATTTCGCCCGTGGGCATCATTTAGTGAGCTCTGTGCTCACTATAGCTTTAGTTTTTAAGGGGGGGGGGTGAGTGCAATTTGTACTGTACTAGTGAATATAATTTATATATTCAATATGAAATAATAAATATCACACAAACTCGCATTTTAAAAGTAAAAGGCAAACAATATTCACCGAATCTAATCACGTTTAATGTTATTGAAGTACTGGCGAAGAAATGGGGGGGGGGGGGGTCATGATATTCAATCGCAGAAATATATCCCTACCTCCCGATCGAGTTACATGTATCAAATCAACTTTTGCCAGTCCTAAAACAGATTTTATTTGCAATACCATTTCACTGTTTACCAACAATCACAATTATTTTAATAATATATGCCAGTTAATTATCTTCCTTGGAAATATTCACCATTTTGGATATATATTTGAGGGTGGTCGGACCTTTAAAAATGCATCAATCATATTCTTTGTTGGATTTTGCAATTGTATGTCAGTCAAAGATTCATAATAATGAACTCAGAATTATTTGTAAGTGTTTAGTCACTCAACGCATCACTTTGTCGATTCGAAGTGTATACTATTAAGCAAGATTTGCGATAATACAACTTGGATACGATGATAATCTGAAAAAAAATTGAATATATAGAGTTTTTTGCTTTTAAACGCATGTTAAAATTTATATGAAGCGATGTCGGAAGTTCGGAACCTACTTTTTATGCGCCCGGATCGATAGATCCAGGGCGTATATTGTTTTTGTCCTGTCGGTTTGTCTGTTATATCTGTTTGTCTGTCTATCTGTTGTCAACTTTAACCTTCGCCATAACTTTTGAACCATAAGAGATAGAGACTTCAAATTTGGTATGCATTCTCCACTAATAAAGTTCTTTCAATGACTTTAAGGTCAATGACCTTGTGACCTTGAATGTGACCTGTATGCTAAAAATAGTTTTTTTTTCTTTTTTTTTTTTTTTCGACTTTTTGCCCTAATTTTTTAAACATCGGAGATAGAGACTGTAATAAGTGCATATTATTCATTTACACTATTGTTACTATTTTAATGGAACTATTTCTTATTGTGTAATGTTCAACCTTATTACTTTCTAATTTCCCGCCGTTTAATCCCACATGCTTTGTGTATGCGTATGAATTATCATCTTACAGAATAAAAATGTCAGCATCCAGTATACACGTGTGTTCTTGAGTGTCTCACAAATATCTAGGGCCTACCCAAGTATTACATCTGGCGACGAGGTAAATAACGTGTATCATGGATCGAGTGCCAGAATTTGCAGCATTCGATTACGCCGATAAAGCCGACGCTGGACCGAAATGGGAAAAATGGATCGGACGTTTGGAGCTTTTGTTTACCGGCATGAACATCGACGACAACGGGCGTAAGCGCGTCCTCCTTCTTCATTACGCAGGAGAAAGAGTGTTTGATATCTACGAAGCAGAGAAGGGAGACACAGCGCCCAATTATGCGGCCACAAAGCAAGTATTATCTGATTACTTTTCTCCGCGAAAAAACCCTCAGATGGAAGTTTACAAATTCAGAAACTGTCAACAAAGTGTCAGTCAATCGTTAGATGAGTATGTCACAGAACTGAGGAAATTATCAAAAGATTGTGAATTTGCAGAAGTAGATAAGGAAATTCTCTCACAGATAATTCAGAATTGTCGCTCTAATCGTCTGAGGCGAAGAGCGCTGCGGGAGCCTGACATGAACTTAAAAACACTCCTAGATCTAGGTCGTGCCCTCGAGGTTGCTGAGACTCAAGCGCTAACTATGGAGGCCCAGAACGAACGTAACAGTGTAAACGCGATGCAGAAGTCATCTGGCAAACAACGAAGCCGCAACCCGAGAAGTAAAGAACAAGTGACTAAAAGTGAAAGCGCTATTGACAAACCATGCGGACATTGTGGACTTACTCACGCACGCACATCAGATTGCCCTGCGAAGGGACAACAGTGTAGATTCTGCAAGAAACTTAACCATTTCCAGAGAGTGTGCGGAGCCAAGAAACGCACGTCAGGACAACACAGAAATTCTAAACATGTGCGCGAAGTAGATTTCCGGCATGAGGCTGAATCAAGTGAAGAGGAATATATGTATTCGATTAATGGCAAAAAGGGACCCCAGAAAACTCTTAAAGTAAATGGTGTGTTGTGTGATTTTCTCCTGGACACTGGTGCATCTGTCAATGTGTTAGATCAGACTACACATGTGATAATCGGTAGCCCGAAGCTTAAGAAAGAGAGCAATCCAGCACTTGTACCCTATGGTGGAGGAAAGCAATTGACTGTGTTTGGAAGCTGCCAGCTAACAATTGAGTGGAAAGGAGTCGTACAATCGCACAAATTCTATGTTGTAAAAGGCAATTATGGAGCCCTCCTAGGGTATCAAACATGTTTGTCTTTTGGACTTGTTCGAGTTGTTTACCAACTGTCGCCTATTGCTGACAGATATCCTGATCTGTCCATCGGTATAGGAAAACTCAAAGACAGAACTGTGCGAATTCATGTTGACGAATCTGTGAAACCCATAGCTCAACGTAGCCGTAGAACACCATTTCATCTCAGACCGAAAGTAGAAGCTGAACTTCAGAAACTTTTGGACGACGACATAATAGAGCGAGTGAAGGATGAGCCTACACCTTGGATCTCTCCTATAGTTTGTGTTCCTAAGAAGAATCCAGAGGAAATCCGTGTTTGCGTCGACATGCGCGAGGCCAATAAAGCCATTATCAGAGAGCGTCATCTCATGCCAACCATAGATGAGCTTATTCACGACTTAAATGGAGCAGCTGTGTTTTCAAAACTGGATCTTCGACAAGGCTATCACCAGTTGGAATTGGAACCTGCTAGTCGCTCGATCACAACATTCAACACACATGTTGGAATATTTAGATACAAGCGCCTCAATTTTGGAGTGTTCGCTGCCTCTGAAATTTTTCAAGAGACAATCCGTAGTGTTATCCAGGGAGTTCGTGGAGCAAAGAACATATCAGACGACATTCTGGTATTTGGCAAAACTCAGGAGGATCATGACGCCGCCTTGACGGAAACCTTCAGAGCGCTTCATGACAGTGGACTAAAGTTGAATCGTCCCAAGTGTGAGTTCAACACAGACCGAATCACCTTCTTTGGACTAGTATTTAGTAAGGCTGGTATCTCACCTGATCCTAGGAAAGTCACTGCGATTCGAGAAACGCAATGTCTGTCAAACGTAAGTGAACTGAGGAGTTTCTTGGGAATGACTGCCTACTGTTCGAGGTTCATTCCTGACTATTCCACTGTGAGTGAACCATTGCGTCGTCTTACTCGTTCCGATACTGAATGGCAATGGACGTCTGAACAGGAGAGTGCATTTGACAAGCTGAAAACTTTGTTGTCTAATGACATTGTGATTGCTTACTACAACCCAAAGAAACCCATTGAAGTTGTGGTTGACGCCAGCCCTGTTGGTCTAGGGGCTTTACTTACACAAGAGGACAACGTAGTTGCTTTCGCTAGCCGATCACTGAGTGGACCAGAGTTGCGCTACAGTCAGACAGAGAGAGAAGCGTTAGCAATCATATGGGCTTGTGAGCATTTTGATATGTACTTGAGAGGAGCACCACATTTTCGTGTCGTTACTGATCACAAACCTCTATTAGCTATTTGGAAGCGCCCTAAACCGCCGCTAAGGATTGAACGTTGGGGACTTCGACTTCAACCGTACAAGCTAGAAGTCACTTACCGACCAGGAAAGGACAACCCGGCAGACTACATGTCGCGTCATCCTGTGGAAAGCCACACTACATCCAGAGAGGAGGATATGGCAGAGAAATACTTACATTTCATTGCACAGGAAGCAACCCTTCGATCAATGAGTTTAGATGAAGTCAAGATGGCCACCAGTCCGGACAAGACCATTTCTAAGGCCATAGAATTGGTCAGAACGGGTAGATGGAAGGAGATTAAATCCATGGACGACAGTGAGATTGACATTTTGGAACTCCAGTCCTTACGTAACGTCCGTGATGAACTGGTCGTACACTCGGATAACGTCCTTCTGCGAAATGGATGCATTGTTCTACCTAAGTCACTCAGAGCACGTGCGGTCAACATTGCGCACGAGGGACATCAGGGCGTAAGTCGTACAAGGGTGTTCTTGCGTTCAAAGACATGGTTTCCTGGCCTGGACGTTGCCGTAGAGAACGCACTTAAACACTGTCTAACGTGTCAGAGTATAACAGACAGGCAGATTCGTTTTGAACCTCTACAGATGTCAGACATGCCGTCGGGACCTTGGGAGAACCTCAGCGCCGATTTTTGTGGCCCACTCCCTACGGGTGAATATTTGTTTGTAGTGATTGATGAATACTCCCGATTTCCTGTTGTTGAAATCATGAAATCAACTTCCGCTAACGCAACCATACCTGTGTTGGACAAATTGATCTCTACATTTGGCGTACCAAAGATCATAAAAACCGAAAATGGAAGCCCATTTAACTCCCATGCATTTAAGGAGTTTGCCGAGAACATTGGTTTCCATCATCGACGCGTCACCCCAAGATGGCCGAAAGCTAATTCCCAGGCTGAATCATTCAATAAGCCAATGATGAAAGCCGTTCGTGCCGCACACATAGAAAGAAAGAACTGGAAGTAAGAGTTATTCAGATTCCTTTGCCAGTACAGGGGAACGCCTCACCCATCGACTGGATTTGCGCCGTTCTCACTTCTGTTCAATCGTGAAACTAGGACCAAACTTCCTCAAGTTCCGACACTTAAATCAAATGCTGTCGACAAGTGTGCCAGACAGAATGATGAAGTTGCGAAAAGGAAGATGAAGATGAATGCAAAACTTAACAACCCACCTGATGAACTTCATTGCGGTGATGTCGTCCTCATGAGGAATGAACAAAAGAACAACAAGCTCGCCCCGAATTTTGACCCACAACCGTATACCGTTATGGCCAAGAAGGGAAGTATGGTATCCGTCTCTCCGGAACCAGGAATGGAAAGACTTACCACTCGTAACTCATCGTGTTTCAAACGAATTCCGAACACTCTTGCTCGTGGTACCGTGGAACCAGAACTAACAGAAGGAGAGGAACTGATACTCGAGCGCAAGTTGAAAAACACATCTGTGCAAGATGTCACTCCAAATGTGACACCGGAAACGAAACTGAAAACAGCACCATGACCAGATAAACCTGCAATTCCAGCCAGAAATGGAGCGGAACCGTACACCACGCGATCGGGTCGAATCGTGAGGAAACCTGCAGCTTTGAAAGACTTTGTGAAATAAACTTGCATATTGATTTTTGTTTGATTTAAAGATTGATGTTGATTTTCTAGTCAATTTTGCAAAGTCTCTCAATTTGTAATTCTAGTCAATTTCATTGTAAGTGTAATTTTACAGTTGTGTTAAATTGTATTTTGTATGAAAATCTGTTTGCTGTCAATTTCAATTTTCGATTTATTATCAAATTTCATTTCTGAGGAAAGGAGGAATGTAATAAGTGCATATTATTCATTTACACTATTGTTACTATTTTAATGGAACTATTTCTTATTGTGTAATGTTCAACCTTATTACTTTCTAATTTCCCGCCGTTATTCCATATGCTTTGTGTATGCGTATAAATATCATCTTAGAGAATAAAAATGTCAGCATCCAGTATACACGTGTGTTCTTGAGTGTCTCACAAATACCTAGGGCCTACCCAAGTATTACAGAGACTTCATATGTGGTATGTATACTTCACTAATATAGTTCTTTCAAATGACATCAAGGTCAATGACCTTGTGACCTTGACTGTGAACTATATGCTTAAAATAGCTGTTTCGAACTTCGTTGCCGCCGGGCGCATAGTGTTTCACAAACACATCTTTTTTAAAAACGTTTTTATTTGAGTTTATAGATCTACTAGGCTATTAAAAATCTGTTTAGCCTACCATATTTACTATGTATAAATAATGTATTTATGCTAAAAAGATTTATGGCTGTGTTTAAATAATTTACAGTAACTTTTCTTATGATAAATCAAATCCTTGCAATGTGATGTTTTGAATAACATGACATTATATAAGGTAACTTTACTTTCTACATGCGCCAGCTGACCAAACGACATTCATAAATATTTAATTTTAAAAAATGGGGAGCATTTCTCTCGGAGAATAAAACTTGTTCAAAAATACTTGTAAGATCCAATGTATGAATTTTTTTCCGAGAGGAATGCACCCTACTTGAAATTTTAAAATGAATTTGTAAAATCAGTGAAACATTCCGGAAAACTCAAAACCGTCATAGGTTTTAGCCGTTACGATGAAAAAGCCAACATCCGGTTTGGCTAAAACTACCCACCCCTGCATTGACCAAGTCGAGTAGATACGGAAACCACAAATAGTCTTAATGAAAACGATGATTTATTTTTTAAGAAATTCATAGGCCATATATGGTACTTTCTGACTTTTGTTCTTTTATATTGTATAACATAAGTTACCTAGGTCCCAATGAGTTACGTCAAAAACGTTATTTTCCGCTTGACGTTTTTTTTAAATATGTTCAATTTGAAGCTATTTTTGAAGGGAAAATTATCTAATCGTGTACACTGAAATAAAATTTCAAGGAACGGAGCTTATTCTAAGCAGTGTTATACGTTTACGGATGAGATGGTATAAACAGGGGTCCTGTGTCGCAGTAGGTGCTGGCAGGAAAAAGATCCCCCACTTTTCAATAGCTGTAAATGCCGAGTAGAGGACAAAATTTGCAGCAGATCACGGCAAGAAGTAGCGTCTCCATATGAAAAATTCTCGAGAGAGCCGTTAAACAATATAAAATCAATCAATTTCAATTTATTTACAATTTACAAAATAAACAGCCTTTTAACATTTCATGGATGCCATGTGCATTTTACAGCTATATATTAAACCTGGTTTCATGTTTGAAGAAAAATGTTGAAAATCTCACTGGTTCCAATTGTTCCAAGATTACATGGCGTTCTATTGCTCTGCAAATAAAGGACACTTTAGAAGACTTAACAGGGAAATCCATCTCTCAATGTAAGTTTAAAAAATTACTTACTTTTCGCTGAGAGCAGCTTGAAAGGAAAGTTTATTTCTAAAAGAAAACTATAAATTAGGAGTTGATTTCCAAAGCAAGTTTAAAGAAAAAACAATGTCATTTAAGTGAAATGAAAATCTTTTGTCATTTATTTTTCTTTAAAGTTTTTTAAAGATTCCCCCCTGCTCAATGGCCCTGTGTGCCAAGTATAGGACAAAATATGCAGCTCTCCACCGGCAAGAGGTGGTGTCTCCTTGTGAATGAAAAATTCTCGAAAGGGACGTTAAACAACAAACAAAAAAGATTATCTTTAAGTTGAAAAGAATGTAAATGGATTTTTAAGAGATTAAGTATATACGTAGAATGAGGGTAATTTGAATATCAAAAAAAGTTTAACAATTTCCTGATATATTACAGATTTGACTTAAACTTTGTGTTTAAGATACAACCAAAATAAGTATTACAGTAACTATCTACAAATAAATCCATCCAAATTATTCATGAAAAAGGGGCATATTATACGAGATCAGGATCAGGATGAAAAACTTAAATATAGTAGATCTTTCAACAAATATTGTAACTTTCTGTTTTGCAGGTATTCTTTCACCGTGTCGAGATCCAAGTGTAAAGGGTGATTCTTTTGTGGTGATTACCTTTGCCATCCCTTGTTTTGAAGAATTCTTCAGAGATACAACAGATGGGCCAACATTATGCCGGTATTTATTCACAGTGTATCTTGATATGACAAAATTGAAATGTTATAATGAACAAAGCAAGTTTCATTGTCTTATTTTTATTATTTTTTTGGAGTTGTTCATCTAAAAATTAATGAAATATATTACATGACACAGCATTAGAAATTTAAACTTATTTCTGTAATTAAGTTGTTTTTTGAATATTGTTAGGGGGAGGGGGGGTATTTTTCTTTTCCGGCTTCGATTTATATAAGAGGCTAATTTAAAAAAAAATTAATTTGATTGAATGTATGAACAAAAATAAAAATATATGTATATATATAATTTGAAATTAATACGCCTGAATATGGAAAAACTTAATTTTAGTTTAAATTTAGAATAAAACAGCGGATTGGGCATTGTGTTTTATCAAAGGTACAAGACAGTGACAAAACAAACTCTACTTGTCTCGTCAAGGATAAATTAAGTATGGCCAACAGGTTTTTACCTCTTCTTCCTGCACAGCTTCAAGAAAATGCTAGTATCTGTAAGTATTCTTCGAGACAATGACAACCATCCCGTTTATTTGAAATAAAAGACAACGAGGGGCCTGGCACATGTGCTTCATATTTGAATATTTTACTAGAGAAAGTAATTGATGAAAAACTAACAACTAAGATTAATATCATCTCGAAGTCATAAATTTTCGCCATTTCACCTTATTTATGTAGCAAAAAAAAAAAAAACAAAAACAAAACATTTTCGGCTTCATATGGGGTATTGTCTAAAGTTACTTCAATATCATTTAAAGTCATTGTTTTGATTGGGTTAGGGTTGATTGATGACCTGCATTCTGTCCAAGAAAAAAATTGACATACATCTTTCATACAGTTTGCAAAGCCATTTTTAAACTGATTTGACTACAGTGTGTTCCATGATAAAAACAGACTGCAGTATTAATTAGTTGACATGGGTATTTGCTACATCATGTTCTCAGACGTCCATGTTTGCTCCACGAACATTTTAATGTTTGGTTAGACTGTTGTATATATTTTCTGATTGTTTACTTCATATCTAAATGCGTAACGGTTCTTTATTACTTTTTCAGGTGTCAAATACTTTTATTCTGAATTCCCTGCACCACTGGAAAATATAACAGGTAAAACATGATCTATCCTACATTAATTCAATGTTTATATATAGTATACATATGGTTGCCATGAGATCTCAGAAATAAGACCACAGCGGAATAAAACAACATTCCACTTATAACTGAAAATAAAAGATCATGCAAATAATAATTTGTTTACACTATCAAAATTTTTTAAATACAAATTTTAGGAAAAAAAATTTTGTGTACCTGTTTTTGTTCTAGATTCAATTTGAGAATATCCATACATGTATATCTAGAGTATGCTTTTACACAACAGATGTAACATATGACAACAGTCACTGTTCTCTAGCTACAAATCCAATTATATTATTGATAATATTTTATTTACATATTAAAATGCCTGCAGGAAGTAAAGAAACAAACACCGAATTTTCCCAAACAGCAATGTTCGTAAGTTGAACTGATTAGTCTGTATTGTCTCTTAACATTAAGATTTAAAGGTAAGGTTATTAAAAAGAAGTCATTGTCTTTAAATTACCCCACCTCTGTCGATTTTTCCGTGAAATCCTGGCTTACGATTGGTTGAAGTCTGTCACGTGAAGGCGGTGGATTACTTATACCCGGTCAGTTGTAAGTCTATACCCGGTCGATGTATTACGTCACAAACACAAACGTGACGTCATAATAGGCACAGTATAAGCGTGATGAAGCATTTAGCAGAGAAAACCATTTATAAACTACAGATAAAACGTAAATTTTTCATCGGTGGGGTAAATTCGTTACATAGTCTTTTAGTGACAGGGTATGGGATGATACCTGGTGAGTAAATTTCATACCTGACTCGGCTCCGCCTCGCCAGGTATGAAATTTACTAACCAGGTATCATCCCATACCCTGTCACTAAAAGACTATGTAACTAATATTACTTGTAAGCAATAGTGAACACAAAAACGTTTTCATTTTAAAAATATTTTCTGCGTGAAACATATGAATATGATTTCTCGCATTGAAATTTTCTTACTGTAATATTATGTCAAAGATTTAATTAGATTTCTTCGTTTGCAAATTTTTTTTTTCCTATGAATATTTTAAAGAACTTTAGAATATTTTTAAGAAATTTAAACAAATGAAGGGTCATCCGCGTGGCGCAGAGGTTAAAGCGTCTGCTAGAGAGTCGAGAAATAAGGAGACGATCCTTACGTTTTGAATCGGGTTTGAATCCCACCCTGGGACATTGAAACCGGTCCTTCAGACGAGACGGTATAAACAGAGGTCCCGTGTACATGTAACAGTAGGTGCTGGCACGAAAGAGATCCCTCACTTCTCAATGGCCCTGTCGAGTATAGGACAAAATTTAGAGATCTCCACCGGCAAGTGGTACCGTCTCCATATGATTGAAAAAATCTCGAGAGGGTCGTTAAACAATATACAATCAATCAATCAGAGCAATGTTGAACATTTAATTTACATCATATTATTATACAGTTAAAGTATATCATTGAGGGAGTTAGCAAGATTCCAGTTCCCCAAGATCAAAACTATTTCCCAAGGCGCAGCCGAGGGAAATAGACCTGGTCGAGGGGAACTGAAATCTTGCTTTCTCCCTCAATGATATACTTTTTACATGTTACAGTTTAAATTTACCGATACAAAGGTAAAAAAATAGAGAATTTGGAAAGACGGGGAATTAGCTTTCAGAGCGGGGATTAGCTCACTTGACTAACGCATTAGACCTATTTTTCTATTCATATGAAGCAGAATTTGTGCAAAATCTTATGCGTGATAAGAAGAAAACACTTGATGTGGCCTTCAACTCAACATGTAGATACATCGACGACGTATTGTCAATAAACAATGGTAATTTCCAGTCCTATGTCGATAAGATATATCCTTGTGAGCTTGGCATAAAAAGATACCATAGAGTCTGACACATCTGTTTCATACTTGGATATTTTGTGTTAAAACATTAATGGTAATCTAACAACCAAGCTCAATGATACACGTGATGTCTTTAACTTTTCTATCATCAACTTCCCTTACTTATGCAGCAATATACTTTCATCACCTGCATACATACGGCGTTTATATATTTCATTTGATTCGATACAAAAGAGCATGCTCTACATATGAAGCATTTCTAAAACGAGGTAAATTATTGACAACCATGTTGATGAAACAAAATTATCAGCAGTCTCGTTTTAAGTCATCATTTCGTAAGTTCTTTGGTCGATACAATGACCTTGTCAACAAATACATTGAGTCAAATGCTGACTGACGTTTTTCATACTTATTGTTAGTTCATTATTTATACCTGAATTGACGACAATTTTTTTTGCCTTTTCCCGATCATTACAAAGAGCACACGGTGGATGTGACCGGTAAGCAGGGGATGTTCACTCCTCCATGGCACCTGATCCCACCTTTAAGGTTTTAGAGGTCCGTGTTTGCTCTGCTCCTATTTTGTATTGTTTTACGGACTTTGATATTGAATACTATTCGTTATCTCCTTTATTTCATTAACAGACGAGGTCTGTTCAATAAATAATGTCCTGAACTGTATGACATACAATACAGATATCATATGACATTAAGCTTGACTTTCTCTCATTATAAAATCTTTAATGAATTTATAACAGTGTATGTGACCACTTTTCATCACATAGTTTCATCGTGAGAAGCTAGAAAACAAGGGCTATTCGAGACACTGCATTATAAAAGAATGGTAAAGAATCAGTAAACTTGAGTGAAAATAAAAGTTTCATTAAAGCTACTGTAAAACTTGTAAAAATTCCAAAGAAATATTCACTAAATTATATATGAAATTTACGGAAAACCAATGTCTGTTTTATAGACAAATAAGAAGGTGGATTTCAATGATAAAAAATTATATAATGGGCATCAAAGAAAGGTACCGTCCTTGCCAACAATAATTATAACAACTTGTGAACTGTTTGCCAAATTTCAAAAAATAATATTTTATAATGTATGATTGACTTTAAGACACATAACAAATTTGATAGACATCATTTCGGGAGTAGTTTACACTGTTTTTAAGAAACGTTTGACGGTGAAAAAGCTTAGTACTCAAAGGTTACCCTATATTTTGAAAAATGAGTGAAAACGACAGCGTGTAGGAATGTCTTAACAATTATTTAAAAATATCAGTTATTGTAGTTATCTACGTTTATTTAAAATTCAAACAGATAATGAAGCATGAATCTATTGCTTAAAACCCTCGAAACAAAATTTACCATAAGATGTGCTTGACAAAAACAGTGAAGGATTGACAAGAGTAAAGAATTGCAAGAGCACAAAGACAGATTTATATGCATTTTTCTTAAATATTAGTGGTATTGTTGTTCAATTTCGTATTCGGGGAGACAGTTTAATTTCTGGAGGAGTCTAAAAAGCAAATGTTTTGCAAAAAAATTGAAAGATTTATTAGAGGAAGGACCCAGAATCGGGAATCCACTACATTAAATTTCTTCATGACAGCGTCCAAACCCGCAGGCCCTGAAGAGTAAAGGAGTTTTGGGGATAAACAGAAAGTTAATGTTTTTTCATATTAACAATATTCGCCAGATCTTTAACCTTTTGATATTTCCAAACTATTTCCAAACTTGAAAAAACACCTTTCAGAAGGAAGAAACAAGTCCTGGAAATCATAGGATCTGCCACTTTTCAGTATCCTAAGGTTCATACCCAAAAATGAGTTCTAACAACAATCAGAAATTGGATAAAAAATGTTACGGACATGTATTTTAATTAAAAGAGAATATTAAGTTAAATCATTAAGACCAAATCATTGAAAAGCGTCTTTTGCTTCTTTCCGAGCACCGAGGACATTATTTATTGAACAGCCCTCGTACTATACCGTTAAAAAAGTAAAATCTAGAGATTTACAGATAATTGGGATATTCGCTTCCAAAGCAAGGATTAACTCAAATGACTAACGCAAGGGGGTTAGTCCATTCACAGTGATTTCAAGGAAATTATTCACATCTTACTATCGAATTCTTATATGGGAAAAATTAGTAGAGGTATAATAATCATACATAATCATGTATCTTGTAGTTGCAGTTGGATTTGCGGTTGCTCTAATATTTGCTATCAGTTTTGCAATCAGCATATACAAAATAAGGTTTGTGTTCTTTAATTTTCTTTCAAAATTTGCTTAAAATGCTTATGAAATATTTACTGCTCCTGAATTTTCTGAACTATTAACTAAAAGCTTTTTTTTTTATCCCGATCTGAACTATTAACTAAAAGCTTTTTTTTATCCCGATCTGCACGCTCAAATGAACTTATCTGAGAAAATTTGTCAGTTGTCTGTTGTCGTCGTTGTTAATGTTGCAATTTTTTCTTATTCTATTTTTTTTAAAGAACTGGACCAATTTCAAATTTTGCATGAAGCTTTTTTTTATAAAGATAATTCAAATTTGTTAACAGGAGGCATCGATCTTACTTGAAACAAATAATGCAAACTTAACTCTGATTGAATTAAAGCTTTCTTACAACTAGTATTTGGATCGCAAAAATATTCTATTGAAATAAAAGGCGAATAAAAGAATGTTCTAAGAGTTAGAATCAATGCTAACTTGTTAAGGGACCCAGTACTATGTATTGTTAAGGTCGTATGCTGGTTGACATTGTTAAGCCTCTGTTTTTGGAATTTCAAGGGTCCACTGTTTTTTTTTTTTTTTTTCAAATTCCTTGGTGTAACATAGGAAAGAAAAACTAAGATAACAATTGTTTTTTTACATTCATATTCGACACGATATATCGCATAGAACTTGAGATTCAAGATACTACAGATTCTGACACATCTGTTTTATCTATGAATATTTTACTAAAAAACACGCCTATGGTAACCTAACAACGTCAACAGCAATATACCTGTATAACCTGCACAAGGACTTTGTTTCTCTCAGTTGCATCATTCGATACGTACGAGCATGCTCTACGTATTAACAGTTTCTAAAACGAGATAATTTATTGACAAACATGTTGATGAAAGAATAAAATCAACACTCGTTTAAGGCCACCAGTTCGTTATTTCTGTTGTCGATGCAATGACTTTTTCAGCAAATAAATCTTTCATTGAGTCAAATGCTGACGGACGTTTTCCATATTAATTGTTAACCCAATATTCATACATTTATAGATCATACACATATATCCTTTATTTTGCGATTATGATTGCACCTGACCCAACTCTGATTTTTCAAGGATCCGTGTTTGTTTTGCTCTTGATTTGTACTGTGAAATGGTCGTTGATTTGAATAGCGTTCTTTATCTCCATATATTTTATTTCATAACTTTAAAAAATGCTAGTAAATTTAATATTATTGATATAAGGGCATAAGTAGTTTTATGTTACATTTGAAAGTGGGGCTTTCTGAAAAAAAATTATAGGTGTACTAATAGTAACCGACCTTTTTCATTTTCATTTTCCAAATATCGTGGAAAAGTTAGATTTTAGCTCTAATTTGTATGAATTCATACAAGAATCAATGTAAGTATTTATTATCTAGCTAATAGATAGTCTCTAATAAAACACAACCAAAAATCTAGAGAATTTTAGCGTTTAATATCTTGACGTTTTATTGAATGCTGACTTTGTATTACGTATACGAGTATGCCCAAAACATTCCGAATACGAGCGTTCACTATCGAACGCCCCGTTGTAAACAAAAAAGTCGTCTGGTCAAATTCTCAAAGCTAAATTAACGAAATGAAGTGGCATTTAGGTAAGATGTGTTTATTTTTCACACAAAATGAAATTATTTATTAAAATTTAGTACGTATTGGATCCATTAAAACCTAAATAAGCAAATCATATCGATCAGTAGGGTCATCGGAATGATGCAATATTGAACGCTTACAGGACAGACATTAATTTGAATACCGATGTTAAAAAAATCATAAATTTTCTTTTTTGTTGGAATAATTATTATAAATGATGTGGAAATGTTTTAGCTACATAATAAAGGAGTTATTGAACTTATATTGGTGAATATTGGCACTCGTTGGCTGTTCAAATGCACTCACAAGCTCGTGCATTTGAACAGCCAACTCGTGCCAATATTCACCAATATAAGTTCAATGACCCTATAATATTACTGTAAGACACAACTCTGTTACTAACTTCATGGAATTGAAATATTCATTGGATATTGACTCTAATTCAAACTTATTTTCCTTAATTCAGAAACTCTATTAACATTTTTTTCTTTCAAAATCATATAGAGCAATTACATTGAGAAAAAGACGAAAAGAATTGATGCGCCTACCAAGTATTCCAAAATCAAAGGACTCTCCATACGAAAAGAATTTAACATATCCAGAAAGTCCGTATTCCGATCCCGATTATGAAATCGTAGAGGAACAAGATGAGGGTTACGAACATTTGCCCGGACCCGGAGAAAATACTATACCTCTAACAGACGAAGATGGACCATATATAGATCCTGACAATGTAGACGGAACATATTTAGATGTAGTGCATAACGAAAAAGAACCTAATGATTACATTAACGTTTCTCCTTACGTTGATTTAGTAGATGATACAATAGACGATTCTTTTAGATCAGAGGCTGTGGAAATTTTACAATCAGAAAATGCCGCTGCAATAAACTTACCTGAGAAAATAGAAGTGGAAAAAAATAAAGAGTTATACGAGGATTTTCCACCATGAATGTGCTACCAAACCAAATGATAATTTCGGAAAGTTTATTAATACATTATATGCATTCATTTGTCGGCCAGTTATTCATACAATATTTTCTATACAACAATATTGAGCGCAGTGGGTACAGTTTTCTCTTTACATGTAAAGGTAGATGTCATTGAAATACAGTGACCATCCAAACAAGAAAAATGTACCTAAGGCTTTCAAAAGATGGGCGGTGCCAAATTTCACTGGATGGACAAGGGATTGTAAACAAAGTACCATTACCAAACCTAAGATAAATTTCTTCCAAATTATGTTTCTATTTTTGGTTAGAATGACTGTAGTATTCTTTGAGGTTATACATATCAGTGATTTATAAGTTCTTGGAAAAATTAAGTAGAAGTTAGATATTTAATTTTTTTGTCAATAAACCGAGGGTCTTAAGGCACATCAATATTTGGATCCTCTTTTGAACCCATATACACTGGACACTTAAGTTTTTATGATATTTCAGAAAAAGTAATTCATGTGTAATTCAACACTACTATAAACTGATACAAGTATAATACATTTTGTTTACAAATTTTACATGATTTTAGTTTGCAGTGTGGTACATTATCATTCTTAAAAAACAAAAACTCAGAAGAAAAAAATAAAGTTATTTTGTTATAATATCTTACCATGTGTTAAGTTATTTCGTAATTTAACATATACTAGTATGTCAATCATTTCAACAATTTCAAACATTATGATAAATTAATGACTCTGAGGTGTTTAAAACTCAAACAATGTAAATAATTTAAATCAAAACAGTTTTATCATGTGATTTTATAGTTAATGTGTATAATTTACGATATGCATGTAGAACGGACATGATTACACAATACAGCTGTAAGGATTGCTTTACACCGCTGAAGCTTCTAGTATATCATAAAGTTAAAAAGTATTTAACCTATATCATTTCTTTCATCAATCTTATACACTCTATATTTTTGTACACTGCCAAATCGGACATTTCCTTGTGTGTGATTAGGTATGCACAACGTGCAATTTGGTACATAATTCAACTAGGAAACTAGATACTGTGAAAAGCTGAATGTTTGTGTGTTTTGATTTTCGTGGTTTTCGAGTTACGAACCAATATATTTTGTTTCCTTATTTTAGTTTCAAGGAGTCTGAAACATCTGTTTCATATTTGGATATTTTACTTGAGAAAGACTTTAATGGAAATCTAACAATCAAACTCTGTGATAAACGTGATGACTTTAATTTTTCTATTGTCAACTTTATCGGCATTCTTGTTTAAAGTCATAAGTTCGTAAATGTTGTGGTTAATACAATGACCTTGTCAACAACTACACTTCGTCATTGAGTCAAATGCTGACTGACGTTTTCCATACTGATTGTTAGTGACGACGGATTTCCCTATTATTTCCTAATCATTTTAAGAAGCACAAGGCGGGTGTGACCAGTTGGCACGGAGTGTTCACCTCTCCACGGCACCTGATCCCCCCAAAATGTATTTGATTTTGTCCCTTCCAAGTTTACAGATAATCTTTCCAATAAATCTAAGGAATGTTAAGTATGCTTGAGTGTATTGTCTCAAGATTTGTACATGTACAAATTTAAATTACTACTTCTGGCGTTTTGCCACTGATTCTGCGTGCATAATAGAGCTACTCTTACTTGTATTTTGACGGCGCATATCGGCCATGGTACTTTCGAGTCATGTTAAAGCATAGAAAATACAAAATTTACATGAGCTGTACTGTTTCTCACTTTAGGCAATACAAAAAACTGCTTGCAAAAGAACGTGTACAAAGATGGTTGCCTTTAACGAGAAACCATGGAAAAAACATTTGATAACTATCACAATCCATTAACCACTAGCATATCATAATCTTACTAATCAATAGTTTGTGTAAATTATGTCTTAAGTAAATGAAATAAAAAAATAGGTTAAAATAATTTCAAAATATATTATGTTGCCTTGTTAAACAAATTCGCATTGTAACAATGTGACGTTAAGTTGTGCAAAAATCCATGTGAGCTTAATACGTATGCGGAGCTGTATTGTTTATCAATACCTTTAGTAATCAAACTACATTGACGTGCAACTTTATATGTGTATGTACTATGAATTACATCTTTTTAATATGCTATTTACCTGAAGGATACAAACTTTTTAAAATCTTTTTTTAAGCTTTGGATATTTTCGAAAAACAATCGAGGTTTATGATATACTAGTACATACTGATTTAACAGAAGTTACAGTCTTTAAAATTATAACAAATTGACTATCGCTTTGAAGATGTGCGCAAAAAAATATATATCAGTATATATTCTTAAAGGAAAATTATTACACAAAGGAAATGCTAAAAGATCCTTACATCCTTTCTTTCATTATTTCTTACAGTGCATACACAGAGAGGAAGTTAAACCCCGTCTTGATCTTGTTTCTTGTCTCAGTTTTTCAATATGTTTTCCTCTTGATAGAGATTAACTCAATATGTAACTTTTGTTTTGTAAATTGTTTAAGTTTTTCAATATGTTTTCCTTTTTATGGAGATTAACCTAACATGCAAATTTTGTTATGTAATTTGTTTCAGTTTTTCAATATATCCCCTCTTGATAGAGATGAATTCAACATGTAACTGTAATGAAACAAAACTGAAATGATAACATTAAGATTGTTTATTGGAACCTTTTTGTATTCCGCTACAGGTAATTTACTTCTCAGTATAAGAGGCAGTTACTTAATAACATCGTTGATTGTGAAACGTTTTCTTCTTATATTTAATTTTTTATTTAAAGTCACAACATAAATATATGGAAAAAGAAATATCTTATAAACGGAATGAAAGTCCTCGATTTACAATAATCAACAAGTTACCTGACATAGTTTTGTATACTACATGTTTATTTAACGAGGCCGAGTCTAATTATTTCTGACCTAGGGATTTTGATAATTTTTTGATAATTAATTTTTACTGTTGTAATTATTCTTTTAAGATTAAAAAATAGAATGTTAACCAACCCGATTTCTTATGGGACCATATAAACATTTGTGAAATTTTACTAAAAATTGGACCCTATGGGAATTTGTTGGAAAATCACCGATTTATCACATTTTTCCAATACCGTATAAGTAGAATTTTTAGCAAGGATTTGTTTTTGGCATTATTAGCGAGAGTGCTGACATCGCTAAAATTGAATATTGCTAAAAATTAATTGCGTATTATTTGTAATAGCTTCTTTAGTTAGCATTTTAAAAATCGCTAAAAATAAAATACAGATTTTAGGTAGAAATCGCTAAATTTGCGTCTCGCTAAAATTTCCACTTATACGGTATTTATTGTATTTCTGTCCTAGAGATTTCTTCTTCATTCAAATACATGAAAGTTATTGTAAAACGTTATCAAATTGTGAAATTTCAAAAAAAAAAAAAAAAAAAAAAATTCAAAAACCTACTTTGTTCTATTACTATGTTTATTTTTTTTCAAGCCCAATACCTCCAAAATTGCCATATTATGGTATAACTACATATCAGTGCAGATGAATTACCGGCACATACAATTTTTTTGGTAAAAATATTAGCAATGTTTGAATTGCTAGTACGCTTTTTTAGATGTTCTGTCATCAGTTTTTAGTATAATATCCATGGACGTCTTGAACATACAAGCGAGTCATGCGTCATTCCTCAGGATCATGCATTGTTTACAAAATCCGAAAATGGTGACGTCGGTAGAGCCATTTCAGCGTTCTTTCCTATTTATTGTCGTAAAATCACATTTTCAGACCGGTAGGGGTTACAGATAATGTTAATTTTGTATTAAAATCAAAATATTTAGCAAAGGTGTACTGTCGCACAAAGGACTGCATGAAATTAAAAAGCTGCGCAAAGTCACGTGCACTCAAAATAAACTCGGCATCATTAAAGTATTATCTGTTTTTTTTAAATTCAAAATTAAATAATGATGATGATGATGATTGTTGCATGTATTACTATCATATGTAAAACAATCACTAATTTATCGTTTTTTTTTCTCTTCGTCCTAAATTCCAAGGTTAGAGAAAAACGAATAAAACTAATTTGCATTGAATTTTAAAAACACACAATTATCTGCATTACTTTTGAACAGAATCACGCAAAGTCTCCTTGAGATATCAATATTTTTTTCTTATTAATTAAAGCGACATAACTGATAGCTAAAGTATTATAATTCGTTGGCGTCGGAAGGAAATAACAAAGGGGCTTTTGGCTTTCGTGCTTTCGTTTGTGCCTGCAACCATTGAAAGTGGGATGGTTAGTGCTAAACCTAGGCCGCAATGTTCAATGCCTATGCTTGTTAATGAATCACAAACGAAGGGAAGTCCTCTGAATTTTATTCTATATACGTATCACTAACTTGAATACAATCTGATCACAATAACCTCTGTGCTGAAATTTAGAGCACGTTGCGGTTAAAAAAATAACAAATGGCAAGCAGTACATCGAGAAAAATGGTGTGTACAATATATATTTGGTCTAGCAGTCTTCCTCCTAATAGTTTCTGGTCTGTTTCAATTCCTTCACGTACATGCGACACTTTGAACCAAATTTAAAACCGCATGAAAAAATACATAAAACAAGTGTAATCCTTATGATATAGAAAAACTATTAAGGTTGAGGAGAAAATAAAGGTAAAGATATTATTCTAAATAGATATAATCTTTATATAAAGGATATCAAAAAAACACAATGATGTACCTTTTAAAAAGTCCTTTTTTCCTAAAATATTTTTTTTCTTCAATCAATTACATGTAAAGCAGACTCTATCTCAGACGACTGTCGATTGCCAGGAGTTTTATATCAAGGAACGAAAAACGTAACAGAAACTGGTAGACCATGTCAACGATGGGATACACAGATCCCACATGAACACGCTTATGATACGTTTCGCCTTGCCAAAGAGAACTACTGTCGGAACTTCGATAGAGAGGAGCCATGGTGCTTTACCAATGACACGGATGTCCGCTGGGAACTCTGTGGCGTGGAAGTGTGTGGTCAGTTGATTTCTATTAGGATGAAAAAAAAACTATTTGAATGTTATTTGAGTTTGATAACCTACGAACATTTATCTGCTAAATATTTTTTTTTTCAGAAACCCCGTGCCTTAATCAGTCTTTTTATACAACAGAAATAAAAAACCTGTGTGTTCATAATATCCCAAGTGATAGTGAATATTGCAGGTAAGAGGTTTTTATATAGACCATAAAATAAAACCTTCAGTCATTCACATGTACATCATGATATACATTTTACATTGAGGCAAGTTTTAATCAAACGTAATCAAATAAAATATCAAAGGTATGAATTTTAGTTATAAACATATGCCATTGAATTTCTGTAACTAAAGTAAATAGTAAGATTTTGATTAAGTATGTGGGGGAAAAAAGGTCATTGTATATGCATATTATTGCTAATTGAAAGAAAACAAACAGTGCATGATGACCTGTATGTATTGAAAGAATAATGAAATTCTGCAGAAAAAAAATTAAATATGCCACTGTTTTTTTTTAAAATTTACATTGTAACGTTTCATGAATGCCATATGCATATTTTCCAGCAATATATTAAACCTGGTCTCATGTTTGAAGAAGAATATAGAAAACCTCATTGCTTCCAATTGTTCCCAGATTACATGGCGATCTATTGCTCTGCAAATGAAGGACACTTTAGAAGACTTAACAGGGAAATCCATCTCTCAATGTGAGTGAAAAGAAGTTTTCTCACTTTTCGATGCCAGCTAAAAAATATAAATTTAAAGTTAATTGCCAAAGCAAGTTTAAAAAGGAACCAATGTTATATGGAAATGGAAATCTCTCGATTTTTTCTTCAAAGTTTTACAAAGATGATCTTATAATAAAGAACGTGAATGGTTGAAGAGATTGTAGAATGGAAGATAAATGAATATAAAAAAAACTGAACAATACCCTGATATCTTACAAATTTCATTTAAACTCTTATAAGGTATAAGATACAACCAAAATGAGTATCACAGTAATTAAAATAAAAATTATATACACAAACATGAATCAAAATTTCTTCATGAAAAAGGGACAATTTATCATATGAAATCAGGACCATGCTAATAAAAATAAATATTGTAGAACGATCTTTCAAAGATATAATTGTAATTTTCTGTTTGCAGGCATTCTCCCTCATTGTCTAGACCCCATTTTGATAGATAATTCTTTTAATCTCAACTTGGCAATCCCTTGTTACAACGAATCCACCTTTACAACAACAGGCCTAGGTCTAGATGTACCAAAACTTTGCCGGTATTTATTTACAATGTATTTTGATATGACAAAATTTAAAATGTCAAAATGAACAAAGGAAGTTCTTTTGTCTTATTTTATTATTTAATTAGAGTTTTTCTAACTAAATATTATTGAAATATATATGACACAGCATTAAAAATTTTAACTAATATTAGTTTAATTATAAATTAAGTTGTTTTTAAATACTAGTAGTGTTTTCTTTTTGTTTTGAAAGATTTCTTTTTGTAATGAATTAGATTGAATGTATGAACAATAATTATAAATCAATTATTATCATTAAAAAGATATAAGATTTGAAATTAATCCGCCTGAATATGGCAAAACGTAATTACGTTTTTTCCTTTCATTTCAATTTAGAATGTTACAGCGGTATGAGCATTGTGTTGTATCAAACATGCAAGACAGAGACAAAACGAACTCTACTTGTCCCGTCAAAGATAAATTACTCATGTCCAGAAGGCTTATATCTCTTACTCACCTTACAGGAAATGTTAGTTTTTGTAAGTATTCTTCGAGACAATGTCAATTTTCTCCCAAGAAATCCCATAAAAACAGACTGCAATATTTTTTGTCGACGGGGATATTTGCTACATCATGTTCTCAGACATCCATGTTTGCTCTGTGAACATTGTCTTGTTTCAGTAGACTTTTTTTGTACGTTTTCGGAAGTTTAATTCAACTTTAAATGCTAAACGGTTCTCTCTTACTTTTTCAGGTGTCAAATATTTTTATTCTGAATTCCCTGTTTCGCTGGAAAATATAACAGGTAAAACATTGATCTTTCCTTCATGAATATAATTATATAATAGGGTTGTCATGTCAGAAATAAGAGCACAAATGAATAAGACAATATTCAATGGATAATAGCTTCCAGTGTACCTTTTCGAGAAGCATACAATTGATGGTTTACTTGACATTATAACCTGCATCATGTATAATCACTGTGGCACAGGTTCGATAATAGAAAAAAAACACCTTTCTAGTGGTCCTAGTTAGTCCCCATAATGTTGATAGATAACACAAACAAACTTTTTTTCAGAAATCAGCTATATTTCTCGTAGATTTACATTTTAATTGTGAACCTGAATAATGTTTACCAAGTATATTGAGAGAATTTATAAGATTTTGTCACGAGGTGAAAAAAAATTCAAAATTTTGCATAGAATTATATAGAAGGCAAAATAAATTCTCATATCTAAGCACCAAGGAAAACCTACGATTTATATATATTTCAGGGATTTATTATTTGTGTCATTTCAAATCAAAATCCGTAAAAAAAATATATATCAATTCTTGCATCAAGTTTTTGTTTATATTAAGTACCCTTAAGGTAATATCTGAAGGCCAGGAGTTAATAGTAGAGTGATTGTCGTTTTCTTGATTGGCAAACTGATTTATGCTACGAAATAAGCCCATATGTTGGTTGAATTAAATGTTGAGCTTAATATTTATATATATCGTACAATGCATAAGATATTTTGTCCATTGTTCTAGTGTAAAAGTAAAACCCCAGGCACATTTCCAAAAACGACCAACGGCCGACGGGTTTTGAAGCAAAAATGGTATTCGTCGGGTGACAGTCGTCAGTTCATCGGCCGTTGTCTTGGCCGATTTTGACCTCTTTTTTTGTCGGCTGACCAATTTTTTATCTATCGGTTCAAGTTATAATTTTTTCTGCGTCGGTGGCCGATTTCTTCAATTGAAGTTATCCATTGACCAACCTTCGATCATTGTCCGACCATCGGAAGTCAGTTTATAAAGTCGGCCGTCCCTCGTTCGACAGTAAAACCCCAGTCACATTTCCAAAAACGACTTACGGCCGACGGATTTTGAAGCAAAAATGGGATTCTTCGGGCGACAGTCGTCAGTTCATCGGCCGTTGTTTTGGCCGATTTTGACCTATTTATTTGTCGGCCGACCAATTTTGTGTCCATCGATCCAAGTTATAATTTTTCATGCGTCGGTGGCCGATTTCTTCAACTGCAGTTATCCGTCGACCAACCTTCGATCATCGTCCGACCATCGGCGGTCAGTTTATTAAGTCGTCGTTGGACTATAAGGGTGTTGAAAATTTCGGCCGACGGTTAAAATCAAACTGTAGATCAGAGCTCGATGATCGGGCGACGATTGGCTGACTTGTGAATATTTAACCTATTAAGGATACATAACACAAACAAAATTTTGATGCATGGATTGATATAAATTTTTTGAACGGAAATAACATAAATAATTAATCCGTAAGATATAAAGAAATCTTAAGTATTCTTTGCTGCTTAGATATGCACCATTTGTCGTTTTTTATGCAATTCCATACAAATTTTGCAGACATTTTCAACATTGAGTCACCATTTTATAAGATTCTGCCACTTTGCCTTGCAAACATTACTCACGTCACCTATCTGAATATAGATCTATGAAAAAATTTTGCTAATTTCTAAAGAAAAAAGTTTTTTTGTGTTATTTATCCAAGTCATCGTTGTCCCTAGGAAATAATGTGACTGCTCCGTGTCGCCCGATACTGTGTCGTCCGATCCTGTTCTTTCAACCGACAAGACCAGAAAAATTTAGTCGCCCGACCATCGGCTCAAATGTGACCAAGGTATAAGGGTATCCAAAATTTCGGCCGACGGTTAAAATCAAACTGTAGCTCAGAGGTCGATGATCGGACGACGATTGGTCGACTTGTGAATATTTAACCTATTAAAGATACATAACACAAACAAATTTTGACATGGATTTATATTTATTTTTTGAACGGAAATTACATGAATGATTAATCTGTTAGATATAAAAAAATATCTTAAGTATTCTGTTGTGCTTAAATATGCACCTTTTGTCGTTTTTATGCAATTTTATACCAAATTTTGCACACATTTTCAACATTGAGTCACAATTTAAAAAAAAAATTATAAAATTCTTCCATTTTGCCTTGCAAACATTATTCACGTATCCTATCAGAATATAGGTCTATGAAAAAATATTGCTAATTTCTAAAGAAAAAAAGATTTTATGTGTTATTTATCACATAGTAATCGGTGTTCCTAGGAATTAATGTGACTGCACCGCGTCGCCCAATACTTGTGTTGTCCGATCATTTTCTTTCACCGACAAGACAAGAAAAATTTAGTCACCCGACCATCGGCTTAAATGTGACCTAGGCATAAGCCGCCAATTGTAAAAGTTATCGTTCCTTACAAAAGACCACTGCCCGATCCCCATAAATTGTGGAATATTTTTGATTTTGACGTTAATGTTAAGGATGTACAAGGTGTCTTCGGTACAGCACGCGAAAAAATAAATACTTCCCTTCAACAATATTGAGATACGCAAAATATATTTTAAAATTTGAAACAAAAATGACATGAATGATTTTTTAAGCAAGAAATGTATTATGAATCCAAAAGGCTACATGTTTGATATGTTTCAAATCTACATGATATACATGTATGATATGATTGAGAATTTTTAATTAAAGACTTTAATTTTGTGCTTTGATTCAATCGAAGCAGATATCTGATATTGAACATATTTACGAGCTTTAGTCTTTAAGTACAATTAAAGCCAAGCTTTAAGGTCATATTCAGGTAAATAGTCAAATATTATAACTTGAATGTCACAAAACTAACGTTCATTTTCTCCCTAAATTTTGATAGTAATATTTTCTTCTTGTATAAAATGTTTGAAACATAAATTTAGGAGGGAAAAGTGTTGTCATTATATATTTTTCCTGTTCAACTTGCACATAATACATATATTTTACAATCTTTTTTTACAATGTTAACAACGTGTGGTCTTACACAATAGCAGAAAAATATGAAGACAGTCTCTATTCTCTGAAACCCCAATAATTTGTTTATTTAGATACTACATTGTCCACAGGAAGTGAAGAAACGAACACCGACTTTTCCCAAACAGCGATTTTTCGTAAGTTGACACTGATTAATCTATACTGTCATTTTTAACATAAAGCTTTGAGGCTACGAGTCTAAAAAGGAAATTATTTTCTTTCAAATTTAACAATTGAAAACACAATACTTTTTCATTCTTAAATATTTACGCAGTTGTGATAAGGCTGTCCGAAGGCTAAAAATGCCTTGAAAATATACATTATATTTTGAGCTAGATTTAAATTTTAATATGTAATCCTTGTTTAAAATTGTAGTCAACTTGAGATAATAGTTTAATCAGGTTCTATTTTAAAGCTTTTTTGTGATGTCGCATGACTGTGTTGATCACGTGACGGAGATTTATGATATTCCTAATTGTTGCACAAAAATCGCTTCGGCACAAGTGCAAAACAGAAATATTGTGCAAAGTTTGGTACATAGATCAATTCATCGTGATCTCTGATATATAGAAAGTGCTGGGGGCAGGTTTAATTTTTACCTGTTTAGAAAATATTTTACGAGATATTCAACTTAACAACACAAGAAGAGGTGTTTTCCACTCTTTATCGAGATTTATACAAAAACGGCTAAACTACACACCATCCCCCAGCAAAACTCAGTAAGAGGCCATACTTCTCTTATAGATTCACACTGAATATCTTCAATTTGTCCTTGTTTATCACTTGTGCCAGTCCAATATAAATACGATTCATAAATTCTAACTCTGTCTACGGACGTGTAAGGGGAGCGTTTCACACATAATTTTTTGCTATTGTTTGAATATGTGCATATCGGACAAACAATAGGAATATGGATATTTAGATTTCAAATGTTCAACATCATAACAGCACACTCGAGCTTAAAAAACAATTCTTACATTTGAATGAAACAACAAGTCCCCAAAATAAATCTACATGCCATGTAATAATTATGACACTTTCCCCGTCATGTCAGCTCAAGAATGCAGTGTCTTGACGTCATATTCTATTATGACGTCATATCTAGGTAGTTCAGAGAAGTTAGTACAGTTTGAACAGTTTGTAATTTTACGGGCAGCCTTATCCTAGCTGCGTATTAGGTTTGATTTCTCGCAATGAATTTTTCGAATTTTAACCATGGTAATATCATGTCAAAGATTTTATTAATTTTGTCGTTTGCAACATTTTTTGCTGTGAAAATATTTCAAGTAGAGAGATATAAAGTAAATCTTTAAAGAAATAAAGAAAGAGTTATGAATTTTTCCAAGAGCAATGTAAAACATTCAATGTACATCACACTGTTTTTACGTAATCATGTTGTTACAATTCATGTACACTGTATGTTGTAGTTGCCGTAGGATTCGCGGTTGCACTGATAATTGCCGTCAGTTTTGCAATCAGTATATACAAAATAAGGTCTGTGTTCTTAAATTTCATTTCAATTAAGTTAGATTCAATCAAAGAGTTAAATACAACTTCAGATAACTACATTTGTATCTTATAGAATGTATTATAAAAGTTTTACTCTTCCTTTTGGACATATGCAAGGTTTCTGGTTTTAGTATAGAATTTTTTAAGAACTTTTGAACAAATTTAAAGGTACAAAACATGTTTTATTCTGCCATATTCAACCTACCAAGCTAGCCTTCCTTCGAATCAAAGTTTTGATAATTCCTAATGCATTTCCTATATAAAATCTTAATAGAAAGGACCTACATTATTTTTAACCATGTAATTTCTCTAAAATCCATATAGTTCATAGACATTTTCAATAAAATACATTGTTTTATTCTTTTTTTCCGATTACATGTATATATATTTCGGCTAAAAATGCAAATATAGAAACCAGAGAGAAATTCCAGCACTGTTCTTTAATTTTGATTTACTTTCCTTAACATCTAATTATTATTCATAATGATCAAGAGTTTCTGTCTTGTAATTTACGTTATTGCAAACAAATTGTTTATAATGTCTTTTGCATGGATTTTTTTTAATAACTTAAGTTCGTAATTACCGTGCGGTGCCTCCTTCACATGACTTATATAGAACTGTTCTCATCCGGTAACCTAGCTTTCACCATAATATGGCAAATCTTACCCTTCCCAGCATAACATGGTAAATGACGACCTGGTGGCTGTCTGCCCCTTTAGTTTACACATTGTACAACAAAGCCATCACTACTTTTCTTTCTTGTTGTATTTTTTATTCAATCCATAAAAACAAACACATGTGCTTTTGTTTACCTCTGTAACATTCGCTTTATTTATTTCCGCCGTCTAGAGAATTCCAAACGGGAGATCACTCTTTTTATAAATGAAAAAAAACTATATATTATACCTTTTTTCTCCGGACACCCTGCCTTGTCAATGACCTTAATTTTCTGGACTTTTAAATATCAATTAACAGCATTTTTTATCCCAAGCTGCACTCTCAAAAGAACTTATCTGAGAAAATTTGTCAGTTGCCTGTCGTCGTTGTTGTTACAAACATTTTTTCTCATTTCATCATCCCAAATCCACTTGAAAATTTTGAACAAATTTAGCATAATGCTTTCTATGAAGAGTATTCAAAGAATGTTTCCACTTAAGCATAGTATCGTGGCCCCTTTTTCGTACCCCTCTAACTTTATCTAATTAACTCAAATCTTAATTAATGTACACTTAACCCATATTTTGTTATCTTTGTGGTACATGTCTTGCTTGCAAAAATTGTCCTGGAAAACGGCGCTTTCATTTTATTTCAGGTAATTAAAAAACCCTGTAGTGGTTGTTAATTCCGGAATGTTGCGCTTTTCCGGGTTGGGTTTTAATTGTGACACATTAATATTCAGAGTAGGCGAGGCACTATGTCGATCGACTAAGAACACGTTTTAGCCCGTTATAATGGTTTCTGGAATATAATACAAAATATACAGAAAAGTAAACACAAAAAATTTCTCCATGATTATGCCAGTTTTTTTTAAAATAAGGGTGCAGGGGAGGATCTTTGATATGTACATGTACTCCCTTCCTAAATCCATACCCCCTCCCCCCCAATTTCTGGTCGTTTCTAGGTGGAAATGTATTCAATTTAACACATAAATAAACTGATAAACTGATGAAAGAAGCCAACTTGTCTTTGAACACGGAAAAATCATATTAAAGAATAATTTAAATTAAGAAAAATATTTTCTCAAATATTAGTACCGTATCGATTTTTTTTAAAAATATTAAACTCTCTCTCTCTCTCTCTCTCTCTCTCTCTCTCTCTCTCTTTCTCTCTCCTTTCTTTTATAGTGGAGAAGATACTTAGTACATACAAATAATGGTGTACAGGATTTTTTTGCGATGCTGCATGTGGTGATATTTCATCAATAAAACAATTTCATTATATGCATGTGTGACTGTTTTGAGCTTTTTTTAGCTAGAATATTTTGGTTGTTGTTTTTTCTGGTCCCAGTAAGCAGTTCCAAGTGTTAAACCATCTAGAATTGCTTCTACCCTGTGTGCCTATATTTTTTACTTAAAAACAATTTGAGGAATAATGCTATTGCGTAGATTGGGACTCTTTGAAACTCTTTGAGTCTCCAAACGTTTCCCCTAAATCCAAAAACAAAAAAAGATATCATTAAATTTTGTCCAATTTAATATTCCATTATCCTATTGAATTACTTGGCAGAAAAAAACTCGATGTTGATTACTGGTAATTGAAAATGTACATGTACATGTAACCAGAGAAACGGTATAAGTTGGTCGCTTTCCGATGGAATGTTTATCGGAGCCACAGTCACATGGTTTACTGATTTTTTTGTATTCATAAAGTTACCTGACTCTACAAATCAGGTGATAAATTGGAATACTAAACAGGTCACAATGAGGTCAATGACATGTAAATACCCGTAAAAAGTGAAGAAAACGGTCGGTGTTTTGTACCTTTTTTCATAAAGTTTACCCCGAGCGCAGGCTTGCCCAAATTACTCCCTTAAATATGTTAAATTTATAACAGTTCTACACATTCTGTCCTTTTGAGAAATTTGGGCAAGAATGCGCTCACCATGTATTCCAGCTTTAAAAATCGGTATAACTTTGAATAACAATGGAGTTTTGTAAATTGCCTTTACCCCTTTTACGAAACAGTCTCGTTCTTTATTTTTACTTACTTTTAAATATTGTAATTTTACAAAGTTCCCATTAAGACCTAGAAGAATTGCTAGATTAATCTCATCAAGCTACTTTCTATAATTTATTTTTGCACAAATTACCGGTAGCCACTTTTTGTACACTAAGTGCAATCATTCTATATCGACATGAAGCGCCAAACTCACTTTTTACGACTTATAATTAAGAATAACTGAAAATCTACTGTCATCTTGTAAAAATCTGTTCCATAAGAACCAGTGAGACAGAAAACATAGTACATAAAATTGATATATTTATGAAATATTGACTCTAATTTAAACTTATTTCCTTAAATCAGAAACTCTATTTACATAAAGATTTTTTTCCCCAAAATCATGTAGAGCAATAACAATGAGAAAAAGACGAAAAGAATTGATGCGTCTCCCAAGTATTCCAAAATCACAGGACCCTCCATACGAAATGCAAGTAACCAATCCAGAGAATCCGTATTTCGATCCCGACTATGAAATAATAGAGGAACAAGATGAGGGTTACGAACATTTGCCAGAACCAGGAGAAACAACTTTAACTCTAACAGACGGCGATGGGCCATATATAGATCCTGACAATGTAGACGGAAAATATTTAGATGTAGTGCATAGCGAAAAAGAACCCAATGATTACATTAACGTTTCTCCTTACATTGAATTAGTAGATGATACAATTGACGATGTTCTTAAATCAGAGGCTGTGGACATTTTACAATCAGAGAATGCTGCTGCAATAAATTTAACGGTGAAAATAGATGTGGAAGAAAATAAAGAGGTAAACGAAGATTTTCCACCATGAATGCAATTCAGATTTTGAATACCAATAGTTTTTTAACATGTACATATATTCAACCTTTCTGTAAATCTAAGAATTTTTTAATCACAAGTTACAAATACCAAGAACATCATCTTTTTAGATAATAAGGTTCATATCCAGCTTGCGTAGGATGATTAAAAGATAGAAAATTTGTTTCGTAATTATGTAGAGATGTTGTCGAGGAAAAGAGTACCAAACTTAAAAGATCATTTCGGAAAACTTACCAAATCAATTTTGTATATGCATTTCCAGTTTTTTAAAAACATGATTTTAGTTTGTGGTGTGGTACATTATCATTGAATATAATACAAATAAAACTGTACTCAGAAGAAAAAAAAACAAACAATTTTATGCTATTATATTTTATGCTATATATCGATAGGGTCGATCGATAAAGTTCTGCCAAATTATAATTAATTAAACTATTGGTAGTTGTTACCCGATACTTATCATTAGCACCTTCAAAGTTTGGCTTCTCTGGATGTCAATCATCTATCGCCTCGAGGTAAACAATGCAATCAAGCATAGATATTTAGCTTGCAGAAAAAAAAATTATGATTACCGTTTTTCCAAGTAACTTTCGTTCGAATATGAATGAAATGCGTAAATATTCCATTTCTTTTATTTTATTTAAAAAGAAAATATTCAAATTTAATTTAACATTGTGCCACGTCCATGTGATTGCATCATCACGGTAAAGTTGACGAATGTTTTCTTATATACGGGAGGCTATTGTGTTTCTGTGCTTGGCTACATGTAACCAAAAAGTCAAATACTGGCGTGGATAAATAGAGGATTTTCAATGTTTTGTCGTTGAATATGGAATTTATTTCACGAGTGGGACAGGATTTTTGATATTTTCACGAGTGCGAAGCACGAGTGAAAATATCAAAGAATCCTGTCTCACGAGTGAAATAAATTCCATATTCAAGAACAAAACATTGAATTTTCTGTTTATTACATTTTTAAAAAAAATCTTTGATTTTTTCTTTGTCTCTGTCTTTTTGTACTACAGTCATAGGCTTGTGACGTCATAGTTGAGCGGTTGAGACGTCATAGCTATGTGAAGTGAATACACTGTAAACAAGGATTTAGCAACATATTTTTGGTAATTTTGACAGTTTTATTCGCTGTCAGAATGGTTTATTTATTTCCATCTATCTTATATTAGGTCAAGGAAGATTTTTTTACAGCAATCTTCGTTATGGGAAGGGAAGTCGAGAGTTTTCCCGCACTTCTGATATTCGTCACACTGTGACAGGATATCATTTTGATATCCTTTCACACTGTGACAGGATATCATTTTTATTCAATGAATAAATTACAGTATTTCACGGATAAAAATGTAATAAAAGAAAGAATATCACATTCATAGATTTTAATGATAATTAAGTGCAAGCGCTAAAATTTATTTGCGCCAATGCATTCCCGCTTGGGTTTGCGCTGAAATACGTATGCGCCAAAATTTCTCCGTTTACAGTATGTAAAAAAAATATACTGCAATTTGTTTAGTAGCTATTCGGTTTAGCAAAAAGACAACTTGAAAATGAAATTTCATATGTAAAACTCTTTCTATGTTCTTATTCAGTACTGGACAATAAGCACATCAAAGATTTCTAGTGCAAATAGTCTTGTTCGAGTAATAAATCAAACCAGTAGAATATTATATTTTTACTTTAGGCAATAGTTCTTTATACTTAAATGATTTGTAAAAGTTCTTTATACTTAACGTAGAACCTACGTCGTATGACATCATAACTAGTGAATGTGTTTAGCCTGTGCTAGATCCATTATGACGTCATAATTAATGCAATGTCATTTCCCGTACTTTACAACTTCAGTATAGAAATGATACAAAATACTGCATTTTGAAATTCACAGAATTTGATTTAAAATCATGCCGAAATAATCTTCATAATATTCGATTTATATATTATTTTTTAATTATTTTTTAATATAATGCTTAATGACATTATATTTCTTGAATTAGAGAAACTTGTAGGCACCTTTCATTTAATAGATCTTGACCTTAATTAAGCTGACAAATCAAAGACTATATCGTGTGATGAAATTGCCATGTATACAACAAACTAATAGTAAATGGCATGTAACTATTTTGGAGGAATGCAAAAATATTTTTTTTTTAAATCGACAGTTGCCAACTTAATAGTGTAATATCTTGATGAAATGGGTCTAAGACAAAGATGTACGTGTTGTAGATTGTGTGTACATTTTGTTATATCTATCATGAAATGATGTGCATTCTTTTTCATAATTATTTGTTACTTATTCATATTCTTGGGCTTTTATTACAATATCTCTATTAAATATGATCTTTTAAATTAAAAGTACAATTTTTATAAACATTTTTAAGCTGAAAGTAGCCCCGAACAGTCATTTAACAATAAAATCCGTGTAAGTGCAAAAAGGTCAAGAATATTAGTATCGGTAAATAACCTCATCTCTCATTAGTTAGAGGGGAAACGTATATATTTTAATCACTTTTTGTAATCATTTGGGTATGTTCTTTATCATATTAAAGATTGAAAACATTGTGACAAAGACTTCTGATATATATTTACAAATGTAGGGTGGAAAATTGACTGAAAATAAATACAGTTCATTTGCCTATAGTTTTGAAAATGTGGACTTATCTTTTATGTCAATTGAATAAAAAGAATTTATTCTCAGGAAATATTGTTTAATACTGTTCAATTAATAAACAATAAAAATAATGATGTTTAAAGAAGCAACTCTGGGATTTTGTTGTCTTCTTTGCATGACAAGTACCCCTAAAATGACTGAAATTGTGAAGTCGCAATTTGTGTTTATCATTCCATGTTTATCTGGCTGCACTACATTTAATAACAAGGAAACATGTCATGTGCTTTTAACTGATTGATAAGCAAGTGCTAATCTATCATTATGAAAAGTTTGAAAATCTTGTGACAAAGACTTCTCCGACATAGGTTCTACCTTAAATGGTTTGTAAAACCATCGTAGCTATCATCCGGGAAACACGGTGGTGTCTGTATCATACTTTGTACTGTAAATCACTTTTTATTCGCGAGAACTTTATTTTCGCGTAATTACGCGAGGAAGTGTGCTCGCGAAAATTTAATTCTCGCGTATAAAAGTATTCCTTAAGAATATATAGAGCAATAACCACGATTCGCGAAAATTTTGTCTCGCTAATCAAGAGTCAATGACTATTTCGCGAAAATAAAGTGTCGCGAAAATTTAGTGATCTACAGTATTCATGGTGAAAGGGTGTTGCTTTCCGGTTCTTTTACAGGAGAATTGCACTTGGCTGAGTCATCAAATGCCTGAGAAAACAATTTGATAAAACAGTTCATTGAATCATAACAAGTTCAGCCACTTAACACCTTTATTTCCTTGCAAGGAAGTTGGAGAGGTTTTATATAGTAACTTAATCGTGTAGGCTCGTTTATTGGTGAGTGAGTATTAAAAGCTGTTTAAATAGGATGTGACATAATTTATATCGGGATTGATATCAAATGCTTTTTGATTTATAGATATGTGCCTTGCAAGGGTTTCCTCCGCTTTGTAGTGCCCTTGTTAGTCTTTAGTTCTAGTGTTTCTACCGTTCACGGTAGCCTACTGGTAGAGCGTTCGCTTCGTGATCTGGAAGCCCGAGTTCGATTCTCGTTCGCGGCACCGCGTCAAACCTAAGACGTAAAAATAGGTAGTGACTGTTCCTTCGCAAAGTACTCGGCATCAGAAGTGAAAGTCACGGGTCTTTCGGATATGACCTTAAAAACGTAGGTCCCGTGTCACGGTAGGCGCTGGCACGATAAAGAACCCTGACTGTTCAATGGCCCTGAGTGCCGCGTATAGGTCTAAATTTGAAGCCCTTCACCGGCATACGGTGACTTCTCCATATGAGTGAAAAATTCTGGAGAGGGACCTCAAACAATATACAATCAATCAATCAATCTAGTGTTTCTATAAGCAATAATGCTTCGAGGCATGGTAGCGAAAAGTAAGACATCATCTGGCTTAAAAAATGGAAGAATACCAGAAAACATCTATAGTTTTCGTTTATACTATATTTTGCAAATGCAGATACAACTTCATCTTCGCTAGCCAAGGGTTTCAATCCGAAATCTACTCTACAACCCTTGGCAGATTTAATCCTATCAAACGGGAACTTTAAATGCGCCGCCTATGGTCGTAATTGAGTTAAGTCCCTTGAAGCTCTTTCATATTTGTGCAATGAAAATAGCCGTAACAGACGTAAATCAACATGACGTTTGAAACAATATGGCGACATCCTTGCAATTTGATGTGGAATATAATCCAACACCTCATGCAGCTGTTGGCACACCTTAAAATTGGTAGAAAATATCGTTCCTCGTGATTTTTTGTCAAGAGTTTGACAATACTTTCTACATGTTGCCGTATCAATTGTTATCAATGAGCAGTGACATTTGATTGGCTTGAATTGATGCACCTAAAATGCGTAACACTGACTTATGTGGTCCTTTCAATAATTATTGAAGACATATAATCAAAAGAAAAAAATAATAAATTAATTACTCCCTTGTTTTTTTTTAGCATATATCACGTCCTAACTTTCATCCCTTGTACATAATACTCTTCTTTTGCATAAAACAGGAACAGACTTTAATTCAGCCGAAAATCGTTGATTAGTAAAAACCTTGTTTAGACTGAGACTTCGCAGCCAATCAAATTCGTTTGCCCGAGTTCTAAAATTTTCAGCCAAATCTGCCAAGTGTTGTAGAGTAGATTTCGGATCGGAAACCCTTGGCTACCTAATACAGTTTCAACTGTGAATAGATTTTTATGATAGCTTCGCTTTCCCATATTTTGCAATTTAATTTTTATTTTCATTTATTGTTACTAAATAAAGTAATTTAAATTATTATTTAACTTTGTAATTAAGAAAAATTTGTATAAAATTTCAAAATTCAGGTCAAATAAATCAAATTTCCTAAAGATAATTGAGACAAATTCTGAGTATGTTGTCAAGACTCTTTACCTTTCTGTCACAATCTTGACCAAGCCATTCTTGTCTCAGCCAATCAGTGCCATCGGAACACCTACCAACCACTGGACACCATTTACAATCAAACGAATCGTCCTGAGTTAAACAAGTTGTACAATCCTTGGCAATATTACAGGCTGTAAGCAAGTATGAAGACATGAAAGCTTCGAAGCTTGAATAAGAAACAATTTAATGTAAAACTAAAATGAAAATTATGAATTTGGATGCGGTACAGCAAAGAGGTTTTACA